TAAAAATACAAATAATACTTTAAAATGCGTTCCACTGTGTGCCTTCTCATGTTTAAACCCATGTACAAATGCTTCAGACAGGAGCAAATTGTGCTGCAACATTCATAGAACTAGTAAATTTTCTTTCCAAATACACACATCAAGATATATATCGATAATTTAAGCGGCAGAGAACTTTGTGGCAACATTCACAAAAATGAAAAATCTTGTTGATAGCAAGCTTTACATCTGTGCTTTCGTCTGAAAGGAGCACATCATGTCCTCTGGGATAGGAACCTGCCCTGCTGACATTTGTCAGAAAGGCGTACTCCCATCCTGAGACTGGTTACCTGACCAGGGCTGGTCCTATCATTAGGCTGAGTGAGTCTCTTCTCACTGTTGGTTTTTCGCTTCACTTTGCCATCACTGCCACCTCCCTCTCACTGCTGCCTGGCTTGCTCTCCATGCTCTGGCAGTGAGAACTCCTTCGTTTCTTCACTGGAGTTGCCTGACAGATGGTCAGCCTACCACCCTTGTGCATAAGCACCAGCCACTCAAAGCAGCCCGAGTGCTTTAAGTACAGCTGTCCTCTGCTTTAAAACAAGTGAGCCCTTTTTTGCTGCTGGTTCTTCTCCAAAGAGGGCTGGAGACCAAGGACAATGATGGGGAGCTGCAGCCAACAGTGAAGGAACGGAAAAGGAAGGAGGTAAGGGGGCAGCATCTGATGAGAGCTGCACCACTCTGCTTCTCCTGCCTCTAATGAAGGGAGGCTGTGGGCTGCTGCTGTACCCGAGAGAAGATGGGCTTTACTTGTGGGGCTATTAAAAGACAATTTTAGCGTTCCTAGGAATGGCACTCATTGCTGTGGTTTCCTGCTGCCCTGCAGATGGGATCATCTGATGACTTCTTCCTCTCAGTCGCCTTTTTTTCAATCTCCCATGGCCCATTAAAGAATGAAGACACCGGCTGTTAAAACATCTATTAGGAATTTATTACAACACATTGTTCCCAAATACAAAAGAAAGGAAAAGAAAGAGAGGGTAAAAAAGCACTGCTGTTTACAGCCTCCAGTAATAAATAAATAAAGTCAAAGCAGGGCCTGAGTGTACCACTCAGTCCTGCCAGGCAACATCCAATGTCAGCATTCCTTTAGCAGGCAGAAGGGGATGCGTTTTGGTTACCATGACTCATGAGAACAGGAAGGGAACAAGCTTACAAACGGGATGCAAGGCATCTATCCACCACCCACCCCTCCCTAACCTGTGCCCCACCCTGGACAGTACTTAGAATTCATTCCCAGAACACACAGAATTTTATATCAAATACCTATTTATTCTGTAGGTAACTCTTGCAAACAAACTGCCCAGCCTCAGAGCATCATGTTCACCTCTTGTGTGCAAGGACTGTCACAGACTCAGACCTTCCATTGTGCACTTGTTTCAGGGGCATAGCAATAATCATCCTCCAATTACTGTACTCTTTGCCCATGAATGTCTGCAAGACAGTAGAACACTTGGGAGTAAAAACGTGGATCTGTAGACAAAAGACCAAAGCTGATTCTACGGATGCCTCCTGAGAAAACAGTTTAAAATACCTTTGCTCCATACCTCCCCAAAGTGTTCTGAGCAACAATAAATAAACACAACATACTGCAATGGAAATACCTCATTCTGCAGCTCCTTCCCCAGATTTTTTTTTAAAATTGCAACACAAAGTCAGTTTGATGGCTGTTCTAAACTGATTCCTACAGAGGTTTAGAAGGAAAGTACTGTAGCAGGAAGGTGATTTATAGGAAGGAACCAGGCAAACATTTTTAGTTCACGGACATTTTCAGAAACTCTGACTTTCTCTTCCAATGCTATGAAGGGAAACGACGTTTGTTTTTATTGTTACCAATGTAGCAAAGTTAAGATACTAGTTGCCAGAAAATACACGTGGATGACTCCTCCTCCTCCTCAGTTTTGACCACCCCACATTCCAAGGTAACTTTGGAATTCTGGATGGAAATGTGGAGAACTTTCCTATGTAGCAACAGGCCTCAGTTTCTTTAGTACTTCAGAAATGCTTTACAGCCAGCCAGATTAATCTACAGCCTGGAATTTCACAGAAGATAACTTGGATGTTTTAGTTTTATGGGGACTGTGATCCTTATCAGGTTTATCTAGATTTAGTGAAATCAATAAGACTTCACAATCAATACACCTTGAACTTCTTTTGTCCATTGAAAATTTCTGATCATTATCAAGGCAGAGGAAAAAGCAGGATGATACCTTTTTTGCATTAGAAACCAAGTGAAGGGAGGACTAGATTTCTTGTGTGAAAGCTAAATCAAGGACCAGGATCTAAGTCTCTTCCAGTCCGTTTAGACTAACATAATCCCAACACAAATCTGAAATTCCAAGATTATACTGGAAAATCAAAACTTCTTAAGACACAAGCCATTATGAATCTAGAATTGCAAGAGTTCCTTGTGGGGAAAATCATTGCACTGAAATCAGTTTGGGGATTACACATCTTCTAGGACATCATTTTCCAACCTTTGGTCCCTAGATGCAGTTGGCTTACAACTCCCAGAGTCTCTTAGCGCTGGCCAGGCTAGTTGGGGTTTATGGAAGTCGAAATCTAACAATATCTGGGGACTCATGAAAAATGCTTGATAATGAAGGAAATGTCAAATGTATAATTTCTGTATCACCTAAAGTACTACTTCAATTTTAGAACTTACTCCTCACTGACCTCACTGGATTTGAGAAGGCATTTGTTTATGGCAGAACTCTGAAGGGTTCACACCTCTCCTGTTCCAACAAGAAGTGGGTCTTCTTCACCTTCTCTTGATCACAATATCCAATGACCAACATGTCACAGTATTGTCCAGCCTTAACCTATGATCTGAGCCATAGAAGGCAAAAGGGCAGACGGAGCTGGGAAAGGTCTGTATCTATTCACATCAAGGAAACAAAGGTCAACATCCATAGAAGCAAAATGACATAATAATATAATAATAAATACTTAAATCTATAATTCATACATTGCAATTACAACATTGATAGCTTATTATCATTAGCATTAGGATCAAGGGGAAGGCAGGAAAGATCTTCTTTTAAGGGGTTGGTGTCCAGCAGAGACAGAATACATGCACATGGGTTACAGGAAGAAACAAAGGGAAAATAAGTAATAAATAAAACCCAAGCACACACATGAGACAAGTGGGCAGCAAAGAAACACTGCACAAATGGAAAACACAAAACAAAAGGTTGGTTGTTGTTTTTTTGTCATAAGAAGGTGCTGCAAGCCAGAAATTCACCGTATTAAGACCTGGATGTTGAAACGTTTAGACAGTTTCACATATGAACTAAAGTCAAAGTGGTACAACTCAACAATTGTTAAAAAGGAAGAAAGATAGGAGCGTTAGAGGCAGAAAAAAAGACATTTCTCCAGAATCTGACACTAAAAGCAATCTGCTTCATGATAAAGCTGGCCATGGCCTTGAAGATCAGCATTATGAACTTTACCAACCTGCACTGTCTCACAAACATTCAGCCTTATATGAAGTTTGACTTTATATGACTATCTTTATGGGTTTTTAAAAAGGGGTTGGGGGACATAATTCATATTCTACACAAGGTCAGGGGGCAACATCTAAAGATTTGGGGTCCTTTTTCTTCCTTAGCTTTTATCAAAGCCTAGAGACCTCGTCTGTATCTCTTAAGACACTTGCCTCTTAGGCACATACCAATAATTTCCCTCCATTATTGTGATTGTCCATAATCTCTTTGTAGTCTCTACAATCCAATATCTCTACTAAGAAATGGTATTTTGGTTTTTATTTCTGTTGCTACTGAGTCATAGCCAATTCTATTGTGGATAATAAGGCAGAGAAAGAACTGACAACAGATGAGAAACTGATGTTGAGATCACCTGGCACATTTATTCATTGACAAGAAAAAAGGGGCAAGTTAAAACTGAAGTACAGATATTCCTAAGAAGTTATAGGACATCCATGAAGGTCAGGTTCACCTATTTAAATGTTACCTTGTATTCTTTTTTTGGTGCTCCCATAAATTCCTATTTTTTATGCCCTTCAACAGTTCCTCCCCCTTTCCGATTTTCACAGAAGTAGTTCCCAGTAGAAATTTTGGCTTGGCTCAGCTCTTCAAACATCCTTCAATTGGCCAGGTTGTGGGGTTTTTTTTCTGCTAAAGAAAATGATCAGCAATGCTGTACCATGTTGGGAGGACTACCTTAAGTACCCAGATGTACTTTATTTTTCCCTTCAGTTTACAGTGGAGCTTTTTCTCTAAAACAACAGCAGGTGGCAGCTCCTCAAAGGTACTGGCCACTCATTATGTTTTCCTGAAGTGACACTGTTTGTTGTTTGGATATTCAAGACTGATGCTGTGGCACTGAAAAAACGAGCACGGTTTTTGTTTGACATCATGAACTGTAGTGCTTTTGCATAATCTCACTGTTGACAATAACATTCTTTGGAAAATGCCTTAATAAGACACTGCTACACTTGAAATGAAGAACAGATTTCCGAGAGCTTCAGTACTGTTATCAGAAGTAAAAGTCGCAAATCTGTGCAACTAAGCAGATGTAAAAGTTGGACTATTCTGGTTTAGAGTAGAAACTGGGGATTATACAGCCTCCAAAGAAAAATATACTTGCAGTGCAGTGATGTTACAAAAGCATCCACAATATATGCAGATGTTAAGGGTTAGGGTTAATAGTATTCCATGTCAGGATAATAGTATTCCATGTCAAAGACAGGCAGCAGCTGCCAGGGAAATGAGGTAGGATTTGTCTAGGCCTTTGGCACCCTATATGGTGCCCATAAGCACCACTGTACCAGCAGACTTCTTCCTAGGTGCCTGCCAGGCTCACTGCTCGTACTGATATTTTTGGTTTGGTTTTTTGCTCTTGTTTTTCCAGAACAACCTGGAGTTTAGACAAGCTAGTGGGCAGTGTGGGTGGGTGTTCTTCCTTTGCTTTGTGTGTCTCTGTTTTGCCTGCGGGGTTTGTTTGTTTTTTTTGGTGGGAGGGGGAGCTGGTGTAGCGTCTTGGCCTACGTTTTGTGTTTGGAGTATGCATTTTGCCTGGAAGTGACAACGATGATGACGAAGTGCCTGTGGGTGTGTTCCACCATCACCCATTTACTTTCTGCCAAATGGGAACTTTGTTGTGCTTGTAGGAGTGTTTGGGACTCAAACTCCTGTTTGTTCTTGTACTTAAGTTCTTTGGCCAACTATCTTTGAGTCTCATCAGTTTGCCTTCTGTTAATCATTTTGTGTCTTGGAACTTAGGCTCTTGGAGAAGTTTGGGTCTCCCTAGTTTGCTTCCTGAAAAATGTATTTTGTGACTGGCTGGCGCCTCACCGTAGACATTTTATCAAAGTATTTGTGAAAGAAAGATACCCTGGGGATTCACTGCTGAACACAGGATTGCTAAAGAGCCTTAGAGGTTTCATCTTTCCCATTTACTGCACTGTGAACCTTACTTTGCCTTATACAATGGCAATGCTCCACTGCATACCTCTGTAACTGTTCTGTCCCATAGCAGTACCTGTTTTCCTGCTGTTGGTTCAACAGAAAAAGAGGCAAAGCATAAATACAGACTCCAGCTTTTAATGGACCAGCATTTAAGCACAACCAATTTAAAGTTTTCACATTTTCTAGGATTCTTTAGAAGTGCATGGATTTTGGTTCAGGTTGGTGTAATTTAGACTGTGGGTGGAGAGTTTACCATTTTGCCCATTTAGATCCTTTAATACAAAGGAGAAAGCTATCAGTTAGAGGAATCAATCAAGTGTTAAATTAGCTGCAAATCACTAAGATACATTACAATTGCAAATTAAGAAGGGATAAATTTATTATTTTTCGGATATAATTTTTTAGTTACTCTTTTAGTTATGGGGCACGTGGCCCTGGGGCGTAAATTCTTGCTTGTTTCTTCAGGACTCGCAACTTTTAAAAAAACACGTTATTCTTCTTACCCTGCAAGAGGGTGAGGTATTTTGTGGCACTCTCAGCAAGAGAAGAGAATAAGGTCGAGAACAGGTACATTTTTGGGTGTAAATTAAATAAATAACACTTTAATACAAATAATGCACAGTATAAGATCTGAAGCTTTGTTGTATGGAGAAGTCTGCCTCTGTTTTGAATAATCAACCTGTTGTTTCATGCTTGCTGTGCGTGTGCCCAGCTTCTCAGAGGGAGACAGTAGCTTTGCACAGAGACACTCTGCAAAGATTACAGGGACTCTGATAAGAAAAGATAGCACTTTCTCTCTCACTTTCACCTGGAGGAATAGGTCCTGGAAAATCCTTATCAAGAAGTCTCCTCAAGACAGTTCGAACTGATAAGAATCATGACTGTACTGAGCACTTTTTCCATCCCTAATGTGGGTCCACAAAATGGTGGAGAAGGAATATTACATGGTTTAAATGCTGGCTCAGGCTGTTGTCTCCTGCTCTGTTCTGGGTACAGGGGCAAAGACGAGGCTGAGAGGAGGAAGGTATTGTCTTGCACCTGAAAGTTGTTTTCTAAATGAAGAAGTACATCATTTTAATTATTTCTGACAAACTGGAAAGTAAAGCACTACGTTATAAAAACACCACTGTACAAGTCTGCAGGATCACTTCTAAGCTTGCAGCATCTAATAGAAACATTTCTTGGTAAAGTAAGTACAATGAGACCTCTGCCTTGTGTATTTGTAGAGAAGAGACAGCTATTACTAGGGTCAGGAAAACGGCAACCTACTGAAAAACATGTTATTGCTGCTCCCTGTGATTTGTGTGTGTTTGCATGTTTTGGACCTGAGATTACTGTTGTTGTCTTGTGTATGATTTTTAGTTTTGTCTTATTTTAAAAAACTTCAGTTCAACAAGAAAAATGGCAGAAGAAATAAACTTAAAGAATCTCAAATAATTTCTCCTTTTAAACAACAGAAGCAACCCTGAGGTATTGGCTCAAAAAACCAGCACGTGGTCTGAAAAGGAGCAGATGCAAAACCAGAAAAAGAAGGATGTGCTTTTAACTTTAAGAAAGGCAGCTTTGTGCCTTTGCCCCCAAAAGGCAAAGCAGCAGCACTGGGGGTGTCTGTGTACTGGGAGCTATGGGGCAAATGCTTCTGCTGTGCCCTGCGAGAAAAATAGTCCAGTGCAATCAACAGTGAAAATGTATATGGCACCTCCGTCCCACTCTACGTTTTGACTTGGATCTCTTACCATCGTCAGTGAATTACCAATTACTGTTCTGACTAGTGAGTGTGCTCTCTGGCTTAAGAATCCTAGTTGGTACCAGGGAAGGCCCGTGTAAACAATATGGTCCCTAAGTGAAATCCTCTGAAAAAAAATTAATGCAACAACCTCAGGCCGTGCCTGTAATATTTCTCAGCTACTTCCCATGTGGAGCACCTCAGTCCTATAGGGAATCTCCACATTAGCAGCCAACAGAAATAGAGTTTACTGTGACACAGCATTTTTATGTGATGGGGCCGCCTGCATAGTTAGTAGCTTATCAATATCACCACCCCCTCGTACAGAGCCGTCACTGCAATGCCATTTTTATAGCAACCTCCACTGGTGCAACAAGCAAGCAAAATTTGGCTTTCCGGGTGTCGGGATATAGCTCCCATTGGCCCTAGCCACCATAGCTAAAGGTGAGGAGTGGTGGGAATTGCACTTCAGCAGCATTTAGAATGGCCTCACTTTGCCCATCTGGAATCAGTGGAAACAGATGCCATCTCTTTCTTCACCTCAGGCTAGTGCTACTATGAAGAAAATGAGGCAGCAACTTCAGGCAGCACTTTTCTATTACCAAAGAGTAACAAATTGTATGTTCTATAACTTACTCTTTTACCTTTTACTCCTAAGAAGGAGGCTGGGCTAGATTACCCACCTATGGTGTTAAAATGCCCTGAGCTGGCCCTTCCCTCCTCTCTGTCTTTTGGTGCTCATCCTAAAAAGGTGATCCCCTCTGCCCCAATTTCTCTTTTTTTAAAATGAAAGAAAAATAAAGGAGGATTATTTCCCCCACCTGTTGAGGTACTCAGGTTAGAAGCAGGTTTCTTTTGTGGACAATACCACAACCTTAGCAACACAGTTTCTCAAAGAGAAGGCCATTGCGATCTATAGCCAAACTAATCTTCTGAGCAATAGATTGGGGTGTTGGCAGATGGTTGGTAAAGGTGGGAGCTGGGGATGGATTGGCAAAGCTTTCACACTACAGTTGAGATCATCTATCCTTTTTAAAGAAATCCTTCCTCCAAAGGCTGCTTAACTTTGGACACTGCCATGCAGCGGAATCCTCACAGCTAGCCTGAAGATGTGAAAGGGATTGTTAATCCTAGCAACACAACAATATAGTTCAATCACCTTTTCTCACAGGCTTCAGGCTTCAAGTCTTAACTCCATCTCCTCCCACAATGCCTGTTGGAGTCTTTGTTTAATACTGTTTGAATAAAAGCAGCATCAGAACAACCATTTGCAATAGTTTCCCCCATTCCCACAAGGGCAGTGCACAGTCCGTTTGTCACCATAATTAATTTGGGAGATACCCTGAGTTGCTGGAAAAGAGCTTATCCCCAAGGAATGTAACCCCTCTCACCCAGTCCAATATGCTCTCCATACAGAGAGCAACTAAAAATGGGGGTGGATGGGTTAAACCTCACTGAGTTGAGCTTTAATGATGTAACCTGCAGACCCTTCCTTAATTTAGATCTCTTTTTTTCTTATAGCTATGCAAGTGTGGTGCCCTTGCAAAACGCTAACTCACTGCTCCCCATCCAAATGCAGGAAGATTTTATGGCTTTGATTGCAGATGCGATAGAAGTAGGAAGTAAAGAAGCATTAAGAAGGATTCCTGGCTCAGTTTGTGTTGAAGATTTTCTCAGTTTTCTTTTTTAAATAAACATATGTGCATGCGGACACACGCACGCACGGACACACATACACACACATACAATCTTCTCATCCCACTTTTTGGGGTATCTGTGCCACTGATGTGAGCTACAGAAGGAGCCACAGGCCTAGGATATTGCTTTGAAACTCATGTTTCATATTTAAATACCATACACAGTAAAAACAGAGCTGGAAGTACCACCCCTACATTGTCTGAATATCATTGCCAGAATGAACAGCTTCAAATAAATTAAAAAGAAATGTTGAAACATTATTCGTTTCAATAAAAAGTGTAGTAAAACCATTAAAATTTTTTCTTTGTGTTTCTCTCTCTCTCTTATATTATATATAATATTTATATATATATATTTATATATTTATATATGTATAGAACTGCTGTAGTGCAGCATTAAAGAATACTAGCCAGAGAAACACAGAGGAGCATGCTCAGTATGGGAAGGGGAAATACAGAGGGAAGCCATTCAAAATTAGCCTCTCCAAGTTTTGTCTCCACAATTTGGGAAGGATCGCTCAATGTATAATGTCCAACCCAAACGGTACTTGTAATGGGAGTGGACAGGCAAAGTCTTCCTCATTTCCTATGAGATAGATAAGAATGTATTATTAATCATTGGTAATATATTCCTCAAAGAAAAGAACCTGCTTCCCTTTAACTTCCCCCACTGTAAATCTGTTGATCAAACGACAACAAATCTTCCTCCAGAAAATCTTTCAATTACTGGAAGTCTTACAACTGTTTAACTTTCCCAGAGTTTCTCCATTTTTGAAGTTCCACCTCAGCTATTCCCTTTCCCCTGTTTGTGTATTATGAGGGAGGGTAGTGCTGCCTGCATGCGAAAGAAAATAATCCAGGACTTGACAGAATTAATTCACTCTCCACCTGCCAGAAAGGGAATGTGGCCATGGTCAGCTCATCTTGGTGGTGGAGGCAGGAACACGAGGGGGCACTAAGCATGCACCGTATGTTTCTTGACTTTGGATTCATTTAGCTCTGCTTTCTTCCTCTACGTTGTTTTAGCCCATGTGGCTTTTGGGAATGCACACAGGCATATAAATTAATATTCCCACCCATACCCACACCTTTCATCTTCCCCATTAAATACCTTGCCAGCCCCCACCCACCCACCCACCCATGCACACACACTTGCGCTCAAATCTCACAAGGTGAATGTCATGACACCTCTATGATTTCCATGCTGCCTGAAAAGCTAGACTGTTTACTGATTTTGCCCAAGTCTTCCCGAGACCGGCTCTCAGACAAGGTCTCCTCGAATTCCATCTGGCAGCTCCTCCGTTTGAACTGCTTCTCAGCTGTGGTGTCCTCGTGCCAGCTGTGCCGCACCTCCCGCTGCTCCCCTCGCTGCTTGTCCCTCAGTCTAATCTCACAGCTGGCCTGGATTGTGCTGCAGCTGAATGAAGCGTAAGGGGTGGTGCTGGCAAACAGAGTCCCGCTCCCGCTCACTTTGCCACCTGCTGCTGGGTCTGTTGTGCTCAAGTACCAGGGCTTCTCGGAGGAAGGAGTGCTGGGGGATTCTAAGTGCCTCCCACTCCAACTGCCGGCAGAGGTTGGCGCTGTGGCGGGTTGGGCCAACTGTTGTCCCACACTGGGAAGGCTCAGCCGAAGGGTTTGCTTGAGACTGTCTTCCATGCTGGTGCTTTTATGCATGGCACACACCCCGCTGAAATTAAGGCTCAGCCCATGGGCTGGGGAGCCTGCTTGGTGCCTGTGCTTTCGTCTCTGCCTCACTTTGGCTTCTAGGAGGAAGTCGGGCCCACTGGGCCAGTCAGGACTATCTGGAAGGGGAGAAAACTGGCACGTGCCATTAGGGCCCGAAGGACTGTCCAGCTTACAAAGCTTCGGTGTTTCGCCAGCTTCTGTTGGACCTGGAGCATCCTGCCTCTGAGTAGGAGAGTAGGTTGACTTGATGTCCAGGGAGAAGGAACGCTTCAGCCGGTTTGTGTCTTGGATGCGCTCTGAAGATAAGTGCAACCCATTGAGTCCCTGCTGTAGTGCTGTAGGTGAGACAATTTTGGGAACTCCCGATGGCCTCTCAGAGTCAACCGAGGAAGTTTCCAAGGCTGTGTTTTTAAATAGCTCTTCAGTCTTTTCTAAGGTACTGCACAGAGTCTGTGGCCGGTTGCTTTCAGCAGGAGCTTCACAGTGGTCTTGTGAAGATTCTCCTTCACTTTTCTCCCCTTGGGCCTTCAAAGCCTTAAGCAGCTTCAGACTTCTCTCATATTCTAAGAGCTGACCCAAAAAGTTGAAGTTGGGTGATATGGAGGGGCGCCGGTCTTTGACAAATCTACAAAAGCAAACAAAACAGCTGTGGTTGTTACTAGGTCTTTTTGTGTTCCCATTTCAATGCCATTCTATGGTTTGCTGATCAATAAACTCACATTAGGAACATTTAATCAGCAGGTCAGAATGATAAAAGATGTTGGAAGAACCCTCAAAGCAACACAAAATCTGCCCAGTTTGTCTTTTCCACACACTGTGGCTCAAAAAATACTGTAGATACATTATGTGACGCTTTGATGAGTTTTATCTGCTAGTTGACACAAACTTTTGCACTTTCAATGGCCCTTTTGCACAGGCCTTTCCTAAGCTCACTTTCCTAAGCTCATATTAAGAAAGTGGCAAAAAGTGAGAGCTCTTTAAAAATCCAGAAAGCACTCTTTGCATGGTAATAAGTCATGTATCTCAGCAACTGCTTATGGCACAGTGTTCTTTTGTGCTAATAATCTAGTACTCTTTTTGGAGACACAGAGAATTATTATGTTTATGGCAAAATGTGTAGTTTTCAGGAAAAACTTCCCAGAGGGACATAAAACAAAATCACCACCCCAAAACGTCTTGCACCAAAAAACCCCAATACCAATTACCCAACATATCAGCACCCTCTTCTTTCTGAAAGCAACCTACTTGTAAGCATCATCTGAAGACATGCCCATGGTCTTCATGATGTATGCAATGGCAATGGTGGCAGATCGAGAGATCCCTGCCAAGCAGTGCACTATCACCTGGCAACTTGAGACCTTGGCCTTGTCTGTAAAAGGAGAACAGAAACTTTGAGAGTGAGAATCCAATAAGTGCCGGTACTATGACAGAACAAGAAACTTGCTGACAGCTTGAAGTCTAAAAGATTTATTATAGTCTACACATTACTTCTTGACAGCTTATGCCATAATATACCTGTAGGTTTTTTACATGGAGCAAACGTTCTTATTGTTGTTTTCCTGATGTGGATTAATCAGGCTACTTCTGGAAATTATTTGGAAGAAAGACCTTTTAACCTGGGAAGTAATATTATAAATACAAATAGACTAAACCAAATATTTGTATTTAGTTATCAATACGTAGGCACATGCACACACACACACAAATACATATGTGGTCAAGGTTAGCTGCTGGGAATTGGGACCTGTTGATGTGACAACCTGAAATTGCCAATAATCAAAAAGTATGCATTGCCTTCCACTCTAATAGCAGACTTGAAATGGCCTACAGCACATGTTGATCCAGTGGACCAACTGCTTTTAAAATAAGTAGAGCAGGCAACCTATGTCCCACTCAATATTACTGGATCATTGTTCCCATCTGTCTTGATTTCCAGATATGCTGACTGGGGCTTGTACGAGCTATAGTCCAGCAATACTTGGACAGCCACAGGTTCTGTGCTTGCCTTTTACAAGATGGGAGCAAGATTGTTAGATTTCATTGCGACCTAAAATACATGCAGATTCTAGCCATCATTAGCTTTCTGTTGCATTCCAGAACTCTCTTTGATAACAGTTATCAGGCAAGACCACAGATATGAATCTCTTGCTTAGTAACAGAATATACTTTTTGATGATGATGATGATGATGATTGCTTACTCCTTTTAAGAGAAACCTTAAACGAGTATGTTTTATCTGGAAAACAAAGTATGTGTCCTTGTGCATCTGGTTTTAAAGGGAAATTGCAAGGGAGGGGGCTTGCTGCTGACATGGCAAATTTGGGAGTGGATGTGACCTGACTGTAGTATCTGAGAAAAACAATGTTGGTGGGGTATGCTTTGTGTTCCATGTTACCCACAACTGCTGTAAGGGTATTTGGGGAACAGCATTCAACCTGCTTTTTTATGGGACAGGTTACTTCTTGACCCCAAATTTTTGTTGTGAGAAGTATAGATGTTTTCAATAAACAAAAAGAACTAAATAAATACAATATAGAGAAACACTGGGACGAGAGTTGCCTCTCTGTGATACTTCAAACTTATATAAGGCTTGAGATATTTTTTTTTTGTCTTGGGACTCAACACCAGGGAAGATGTTTTGTACAGAAGGTAGCTCCCAAAGGCAGACATTGTGTTTCACATACAGGTGAGTTAAACAGGCAGCAGTGGGTGGAGGTGCAGAGGAGTTCACAACTCAGTCAGAAACATCCAGGAAGCTTTTGCAGCAACCCCATAACAATGCAAATACAAATGAAAAAAATGCAGTCCAGAAAAGATGATGAAAAAGCCCTTGGTGGCTACTCAGAAATCTTACCAATGAACTCAATTGACTTGTCCAACCAGGGAAGGAGCTTCTCACAGTAATTATCATTGACTGGAATGCGCATGAAGTGGCTGTCACAGATGAAATCTGGCTTGGGACAAGAGTTGCTGGCATTGAGGACATAGCTTATCCCATTCTGAGTCATGAGGTCCTAGGCAAGAATAAGAGAAGCAATGCATATCTGTCAGTCCCGGGGTGGGATCTTTCCACTTCCAGAGCCTCCCACTATGTAAGTGACTCCTCCTTTCTCTTCCCCATCTCCTAGTACACTGGTTCTTAACCTCTGTTACTCAGATGTTTTTGGACTGCAACTCCCAGAAGCCTTCACCATCAGCTCTGCTGGCTGGAGTTTCTGGGAGTTGCAGTTCAAAAACACATGAGTAACAAAGGTTAAGAACCACTGTCCTAGTACACAACACCTTGACCTTTAGAGCTGCATTGTCACATAGGTGTGTTTTAGCTGCCAGGATGAGTCAGCTATCTGAGTTCAACAAGTATTTGAAAAAAATCAGTGGCTTTTGGCACAACCGTTTGCGTTCCATGGAGGAACTAAGTTCCACAACTAACCAGTGAACAGAAGACTCTTATTCTAAGGAAAACTCCTAGAGAGGCAGCCGAACACAAAGGCTTCAAAGCTCCAGTTCCTGTTGCAAGTACTGAAACCCAGCCCAACACAATGGCCCCTCTCTTGAGTTTCCACAGTTCTTTTTCTCTGAGCAGTTCCTGTGTAACAACCCCAACCTCAGCCCCTAGCAGCAAACTGAGTTCCTGAGCTTACATTCCTGACATTTTTCTTCCCCATTTCCTTCTACTCCTGCATAAAATGTCCCCTTTCTCTCTTCTATGTTCCAAGTTTAGGCACTTCTACCTAAGCCTCCCCTTGAGGCAAGAATGCCGGATTGTCTCTCTCTCTCGTACCCAGGATATGCACCCACTGGTATTTTAAAAACAATTAATGGTTCTTTAATTTTATTATTTTCTCTTTAAACAAAATCCTTTTCCCTGATGTGATATCATAGCCCAGGCATTTTGGCACCTCTTCTTAAAGGACACTGCCTGTTACCTCAACAGGCCCAGGCCCAATGCACATCTTTGTCTGTCTGCAGGCTGCCTCAAAGGGTTCTTTGCTTGTCGACGTGGACTGCAGGGACCTACGCTCTTCTGCACCTCACCTCAGCGTCAGCCACAGATGAATGCTAAGCTTAATACCTCATCATCTGGCTCTGAGGTTGGACATGGAAGAGTTGAGGTCAGTGTTATTCTTCAGCCTGGCTGGCACCGGACCTTGGCAATAAACAGATGGCTCCCTTTACATAAAACCTCTCAGGGTCAAATTTGCTGTGATGATGCTCCCACTGCTAATGTTCTGAACTAGCTCAAAGGAAACGCACTTCACACGTCTCTTCCTCTCTACACAATTCAAAACGGCCCAAGAAAACACCACAATTAGAAAACAAACATTTCCCCACAAATGTATCCCAGCTGCTTTCCCAACTAGATCCCATAATTCTTAATGCAAAGTGGGAGGTTTCTGCAAAGTAACCTCCCTTCCTCCATACCGTACCTTATTCAAGACATCTTTCTGGGAGCCGAGATACAGATGAGGCAGGATGCGCGTTGGGCCAACATTGGCCACCGGCAGGCATGGCTGAGAGATACTCATTGGCAGGATGGCAGTGGGTTTCCCTTCACAGAGTCCTGGGAAGCAAGACGAGAAGGTGGCAAACCCCCCTGGAGAAAGAAAATGAAATAAATTAAGAATTCTGACCAGTGATCACTGTTCTCTATAAATTGCCTATAGCCATTAAGCTGCAGAGAAAGTCAATGGCTTGACCAACAAAACTGTCAAAAATGTGTCATAGCCAAAACGATTGTGCAGATCTCAAACCTAATTATTCTATCCTGAAGAAAATCATTCTGTTGCTCCGTAGTAAAGCCCTGTACTCTCTACAGATGCATATAAAGCAAACTTCTCCCCTCTTAGTGCCTTCAGGCCTATAGTATGGAGGACACAAAAACCTTGATGGCTTTGCAAAGAGATTAGCAGCTAATCTTGGCAATGCTGACATTCTGCCCACCTAACAGCGGCCCTCTAGTGACAAAGCCAGTGTATGCAAATGCACAAGCACGTATGATTTCATCACTTTGTGACTAGTCCCTGAAATATACAAGCCCTCCAAACTTATTGTAATGATAATCATTTTACCCATGTTGCATGGAAGAATCAACAATGCTCTTTCAAAGGCTTTTAAATCTAACTTTCCTATGCATTTTGCTCCCTTAATGTGTGAGGTGGTGAACTTTATGCATGGTCTCTGTGTTGCAGTGATGGGCTGGATTGCATCTTCCAGCAGCTCCAGATAACACAGCCAGTACTTAGGAACGATGGGACCTGAAGTCTACCAACATCTGAGGGCTACAGGTTCTTCAACCCTGCTGCACTGGGTTACAGCTGTCAAACTCTTACTAAATTGATTAACTAATTCATATGAACTTTAACATGCTTGAAGAGCACAGAATATAATAAAAATCCATTTATAAACAAACAAGTAAATAAAATTTAAAACCCAGCAGTAGACAATATCTTTATTAGGACTAACCAAAGAGACATGTGATGTTTACAACACTGCTGTTATCAGCATTGAATGCCAATTTTAGTGAGTTGTGTGCTCCAATATAGGCCTATATTGTAGTAGGTATAAGAATACTCTTAACAAATTTTATCTTTGTGGTGATACTTATGGCTGCTGTTGACCAAACTGAGCTCGTGCTGAAATACAGCAGATGCCGTTCTAATCCGGCAGTTGATGTCCTTGTCTGTCCCTCCATCAGTAGACATAATGCTGCCATGATAAGTGAATTGTTGGACTGCTCTACAGCCTGGCTGCATGCAATTATAGGTGTGTTACCTTGAACTCCTCCAATCTGCATAAGCTTGGTCTTTTCAGTATTTATTATTCACAGGCCAATCTTGCTGGCTTCATTGTCTAGGCTGGTGGTCGTTTCTTGCAAGCACGCTCTTGTTTCACTGAGCAGTGCAATGTCATCTGCAAAATCTAAGTTTGTTTGGTGAGTTCTTGCCCACGGAATGCCAAAACTGGGGTTGTTCATCGCTCTAAGAGTATTATTATACCTATTGCAATATATACCTGTGAAACATGGAAATGCACAGCCAAGATGACTAAACAACTAAATGTTTTCCAACAACGTTGCCTTAGAAAAATCCTCCGCATATATTGTGATCATGTCACTAATGAAGAAATACTATAAAGATCAGACTCAAAACATCTGTCAACAATTGTGAATGAACACCGAATGCAATTTGCCAGCAACATCTTACACATGTCTGAAGATTGGCACCTGAAAACTGCACTACAGTGGATACCTCCTGGAGGAAAGAGAAAATGAGCCCAGCCTCGAAAAACCTGGCATCAAACACTCAAGGAAGATTTCAAAACCATTAGTGTTCCTTGGGACACCGCCAAAATTGTGAACAATCAAGTTCACTGGAGAACACGTGCTGCCCAACGTGCTCTGCAAAGGATCTAATGATAGTGATGATGATCCTCCAATAAAAATTCACATTTTAAATCTTACTGAATCAACCTGTTAACCACATCCCTTTTATTACTTCATTTTCTTCAACTCTTACTGTGATAACAAATGGCGGATGGGTTTTCTATCCATCTCTTCCCATTACCACATGTATCTTCTAGGACTGGCTCTTTTTTGGCCACTAATTTCAATGGTAACAAGAAAGCCTCTATTGCCGACTTACAATCCTCAATGCATCTCCAGGGAGATATACTGTACTCTTTTTCACATTTACTCTTTAGTGTTTTAAAGACTGTCACTTCCCAGTTGTACAAGCAACAGCATGCTGCCGATGAGTTTCTTAGTGATGGGAAGTAGCAAATATAAATATACAGTGCTAAATAAAATAAACTGTGTAAGGAGCAAGTGTGTGTGTGTGTAATTCTAGGAAGGCAGGAAATAAATTACCTGCACTGGAATTTAGCCAGGATTCTATGGGATAATTTTAGTCTTCTTTTATAAATAGTCCCCCTGGGAATTTTAGCAGCCACATGTGAGCAAAAACTGTCATCTGAGAAACGGCAGGCCTAGCAGTTGTTAGTGTTGTTATGGGTTGGGTTTAGATGCGAACAGGGTTGCCTACAACACTGATTTTAAAAATGTCAACCTCAAAGAGCCATTTGTATACTGACACGTCTTCCAAAGAAATCTCCACCATGGCTACTGTCAAATATTACTTTTTAAAAACAGAACTTCCTGAGGGCGTTTTGGAATATATTCAGGGCGCCCTTGGACACTCTGGCCCCAACAACTATAGTTATGGAAGTGTCTTTGCTCAGTGGGGAAGAAAGAATATCACATGGCTGAAATGTGGACTCGTGCCAGACCCTGTACTCTCTTGTGGACACTGAGGTGAATATGGGGTTGATGGGAGGAGAATGTCTTTGTATCGCAAATAAATGGCTTTGTAGCACTTAAGATTTTTAAGAAGTAATTAAAAGGTAACTTATACTGTAATTTCTGCAGTTAGCTAAAGTTCTAGAAGTAATCATTTTGATTAATTTTGAGAAAGGATAAACAGTTGTTTTTTTTAAACTACAACTATAATGACTGATTACATTTGGCTAACTACTAACTACACCCTGGTCTGAAAAGTTTGAATGACACAACCTAGAACACACAGAATACTTTCCTGCAGCTGTGCATTCCAAAAAGGATGTCCGTAATAGTTCGCAAAGCTGTCTTTCAGGGAAAAAAATTTACAGATCTTCTAAGTGAAGAACTCCTGCAAGCTTTGAGGAACTCCTCAGAATACTATTTGAAAAATACTTGCCTATGCAATTATATAGCTGCCTGTATAACTCAGTGAGTTAGATATCATGCTGTGGAGCCAAAGGTTGGGAGCTTGGTTCCCCACATTGCCAGCCTCTGTGGCCTTCAGCAAGCTGCACAGTAGTCCCAGGGCACCCCAGGAAGAAACGGTAAACCACTTCTGAGCACACTCTGCCTAGAAAACCCTGAAAAGGGTTACTATAAGTCAGAACTGACTTGACAGCACATAATAATTATTATTATGGAATCACACCCCCTAGATGCTTCAGCAGCATTTCTCTTTCTGTGTACTGGCAGATCCCATCTCTCTATCTACCATCTGCAATCTCTAGCCGAATCACAGCAAACATAGCTGTAGGCTTTTGTACTTGAAAGAGACCTACGTCAGAGTCATGCAGCTTTGCAGAAGCAACCCCCCCCCCTCTTCCCTGCTCCCACTCATGTACACAGAAGCTCTTTTCTATTTCATGCTTGAGTGGCTGGCTGCTTAAGAGGCCCCATGTACAGTGCTAATTAGAAAAGTGAGGCCGTATCTGGGTGGGTGGCTGAGGTATTTGGACAGAGATGACAGCATATGATTTCTGAACAGATCTCAAGACTGATTTTTCACAGTCAGTCATGTTACAGTATACAGTACAGGAAGCAGCATCCAAATTAGGCTGATCCTTGCCTGGTCTGCTGCTTCAACTTTGATCCTCTTCCCCAAATTGAACTGAGAAGATACAATTTCCTTTTTCATCTTGATACCTAATATTCAGAACCTGAAAAGGCTGACACTGTATCTAGGATTTACCAGCTTATGATGGACTGACATGACTCAGCTAGAAAGAGCTTCAAATTTCAGTAGGAAAAATTGTTGGGATAGACATGCAGATTTCTAATCCAACTGGGCAATATTTTTTTCTACAAAGGGGCTGGCATCTCCTCCAACATATGCTAGGCACAATTGAAAGGACACATTTTAAATACAGGAATCTTGCTGGCTTCTCTCTATGCACTGTAAAGCTGCATTACAAAGCTTGCACAAAAATCTTCTTGAAATAGGCTTGTTTTCATTAAAATGTGTAGTTCTGATCCAACATTTCACAGGGTTTCTTTTGTTGTTGTTGTTGTTGTTTTCCTTATCACAGGGTTTCTTTTGTTGTTGTTGTTGTTTTCCTTACAGAAATAGCCAGATGGCAAACAAAAACAAATCACACTAATCATGTTTGGTGAACACAGTTATCTCTGTCGTAAGATAAATGACTGGAGACAGTGAAAAGCTCTACAATGTCTTGTCAGACTGGGATGTGAGGAGTTAATCTGCTTCGCAACCCTACCTCTTCCATGGCTCATTGTGGCATGACATCAGCCCCTCAACCAGGATATTAAATCAGAATGAATGAAACAAGATTAGCACAGGTGCATATGAGCTCTTGTTACTCCTAGATTCCTCCTTACCCACCCAACACAGTTGCATCAATTATACCAGGAACAAAGATCGTGGAGCTAACAGAAGTCTATGTAAGCATGCATAAGTCTTCCCTTCTATGCTGGATGGAGACAACTTCAGCCTTTTCAAAACTGATGTAATGGAGACAGGAATAACCCAGAAGAAAGACTTGTGCCTCCAGGAACTACTAGAATACAGGTCACATCAACGTAACTGATGTCATAGCAAGTTTTTACATTGGTTTATCTTGAACATAGTTCATAGTTGCAACTACTGTACAAGCCCCACAGTGCAGTGGTTAAACTGCAGTGCTGAAGTCAAGCCTCTGCTCATGACCTGAGATGGATCCTGATGAGTTCAGGTAGCTGGCTGAAGGTTGACTCAGCCTTCCAGTCTTCTGAGATGGATAAAATGAGTAGCCATATTATGGAGG